CCGTCTGTCTCTCCGCTGGCTTCCTGCAGGGGGAGTGTGCGAGCGGGAGGTTTCACAAAGGTTTCCCAAACACACGACGTGTCACCCTTGGGTGCGCAGGGAAAGGGTCTAGCGCGTCCCGGGTTACAGGCAGCCTTCTCAGGCTCCTACGCGTAGACCACCCACGGGCCCTCCGGCAGACACGGCAGCCCCGGTGATCGAGCACCTGAAGGCGTGCCGACGGTGTCGATGTGCGATCCCATGTGTTATCTCGTGTTGTTGCGCGCTGCCCGGCCCAAACGTCTCCCGGGGCGGGAAGGCCGGTTTGGCGGTCTGGGTGCACAGATAAGAGGAAAGTTCTGATATGACCCCAAAGAGGGTCGCGGGTGGCAGCGGCCAAGGACAAAGTGAAGGACGTATCCGCGTCCACTCTCGGTCAGATTTAGTTCATCTATCGCCGCTGTGTTTTGCAGAACCGCACGTCGGAAAGCGTTTTCCTCCGCGCACCTCCGTGTTTGCGCGACAGGCTGGATTTTATTGTCGTCAGTGATGCGCCGAGTGTATTTAGAGAATTACCCCGGCGTGTCTCAGCTTTAAGCTAATCTCCAGAACTCAATTCTGCCGTAACAAAAGAAACCATTAGCGAGCTCAGTGGTGGGAAAAACATCAGAGGATTTTTACCCCCTCAGGATTCTTGGCTTAGTTTAGAGCCCAAACTGAAATAATCACCATATAGCGTCCTAAACTAAATGTAACGATTGCGTCTAATGATTATTTTCGTCCGGTCCCAATTAAGCCGTTTCTCAGACTCCTGGAGACATTGAGTGACACTTTGACATTTCCTCAGCCGATAACAAATCCCCATAAAAAACAACACGGCCGCCACAGACATGGTGGGAGAGGAGAGACTCGGGGGGGTGGATCAGCCAACGAAAACACGTGGATAGCACCCCTTCAAAGTAACAGGTTCCACACCACGGAGTGTGTTGGAGGAACTTTTATCGATCACAGGTGTGATTCAAAGCGTTCCCTTCAAAGCGAAACCTGAGCCGGCCGCCGGGCCGGAGCGTGGAAGCCATGGCGGGTCGGCAGGAATCGATAGAAGGAGACGTGCGAGACATCACTCACAGCCGTTTACTCATTTAACAGATCTGGGTAGTTGGCGGACAGGTGCGAGAGATCTTTCTCTTCATTGTAACGGCCTCTTCCAAAGTTCATTGGTTGTTTTGTCTGCGTGACTAAATTGCTGCAGCCGAATTAGGATTTAGAACCGATGACATTACGGAGAAATAGTGTTTGAGGTTAAAAATGAAGTGTTCTTTCCTCAATTTCCTCGAATCCAAATCCCATCAACATCATCCGCGGCGGGTCGGGCCTCGTCATCTAGCCGCTGACAGCCGCCCACCGTTTACCCATCAGGCTGCTTCACTCTCCCCTGTATGATTCGGAAAAACGGTGCATCTCTGAGCTTGATCTACATGCATTACCACGTGTGCTCCTCCATCCTCACCTCGGGGGCCGGGCGAGGGGGAGGATGGGGAGGACGGGGGGGCTGAGGAGGTGCTGGGATGACACATGAGTGTCACATCATCCATCAGACTGTCACAGGCTGTCGCCCCGGAGAAGCAGAGGATCTGTAAACAAGAGAGAGGAGCAGCCGGCTTCCCGGGCCGCCGTGCGAGCAGACGGGTCGGGCCGTGGCGAGCCTTTTTTTTTTTCCCTTCCCCTTTGTCTTTTTCCCCTTTCTATGAATCACACCGTGGGAGGGGGCTGATTTGCCCGGAGCGCGGGGGGGGGTTTGATCCACGCAGCCAGGTGTGGATGACTAACGCCTCCGCAGAACACCGCTTAAAAGCGGCCGGCCGCGGTCAAAGGCGGGCAAACAATCAGTGGCCTTTGTCACGTTTTATAATGAGGGAATTCCGCCTCAACACCTTGAAAAGAGCAGCTTGATTGATTCGTTGGACTAAATAATTGGGTTCGGGAAGCCTCTGATGTTTTCTTTCCAGTATGATGTCAGTACGCAAACGTTTTAAAAAGCGTGCACAGTAAATCCTACGATGCTTTACCTCATGACAGTTACCACTCAGACCTCGGTGGGGAAAGTTTGTACAAAGTTAAATGCATCTGAGAGCAATTTTTTTTTTTTTGAAATCTTTTTCAAGTATTCCTGGAATTATTCCTGGATTACTCTACTCAAGCATTGAACTATTTGTCATTTTAAACTAGAGAAATATTGTTATTTTATATGTTTGAGAATACTGGTTACTAGCAAGGCCGCTGCAGATTGAGGTCAGGAATGCAAAGTGAAAATCAATTAATAAACCATGATGCATTATTAATTGAGAGACGTGATGACCGGCGGCTCCACCTGTCGAGATGTGTGCAAATATTTTTCGGTGCGTCATGAAATTGTGGCGGGACAAGATCTACTGTGGCGGTGGGAATGAGGTGCCGTGTTTAAAACCACCCTTTCGTCGCTCACTGAGCCAAGCAGTAATGAGTTATCTGATGCGTGTTGGAAGATGCTGCTGGGGACTCACTCCTTCATTGGCCCCTCTAATTATTTCCCCCATCACAGGATTAATAATGTCACTTTGATTTTGTTCCGCGCCCATTAGATCAGAGGCTGCGTGACAGAGGACGCTGCGTGTACAGCGAGGGGTCAGCGATGTTTCCAGGCCTCGGAGAGACACCTCTGTCCTCCAGGACGGGGAAGGGGGCTTTGAGCCAGGGCTGTGTGTGTGTGTGTGTGGGGGGGCGCTGGCTGGCTGGGACAGGGCCGCCATGATTACGACTGGGGCCAAGCTATTTCTGAACAGGACCGGGGAGGGTGCAGCTGGTGTTCCTGTTGTTGACAGTGTCACTGTGCCAGTGGAGCGCCTCCAGGAGCCAATGAGCTCTTTCACATCGAGACAAAGCGCCATTAAGGCCGGTAACCGCCGGACAACCCGTTGGCTGGGAACGCGCAAGCACTCGTGCTTTTACTTTGGCGGGAGTCGGTGAGAGAACCTCTTGGTCAGTCGGGTTCCAGCCGGCGATCCTTCTTGAAGCGGTTGGGAATGGACCTCGCACTGAGGTCCATTTAGCAGCTTGTGAGGACCACGTGAAGCTGGACTCAATCTCTCAGTTACCTGTCGAGTCATTATTTGGTCGGGTCCAGACGAGGTGTTCCGGTGTTGTGATTGAAAATGTTTCGCTACTATATGTTCAGGCTGCTGGTTGTTGATTCTAATAGAAAACAAGGCTACGGCGGAGAGGAGGGTGACCTTTAGGGTGTCTGTCTGAAGAGGGATCACCTCAGGGTGCCACAGCGTGGGATTCTTTTCTTGGCTCACGGACCGGACTGATGCAGCAATGATATGAAAAGAAAGAAAGACATAAATACATTACGATTGATACTCCTGTACAACTCTCTTTAAAACACGCTCCAAAGCAGAGACTTGGGAGGTGCCTCAAAGACTCCACCCGTCCCTTCACAGGTGGAGACGCTGACATTTTACTTGCAACGCAAACACAGGGGCACATTTAAGAGGTTTAAGGGGAGAATCGCCTAGAAAGGGACATCGTCAACCAGCCCGTCAACATCCGCTGCTGCTTTTTTCGTCTCGGCTCGAGTTCCACTTGACGGACTTTTTGACCAGCCTCGCACTCGACTTCTATTGCACTCTTCACACGTGTCTCCTTGTACCTCCTCACTGAAAATAGTCTCCCAGCGAAGAGTGTGACAAGGGTTGAGGGTGTGAATCATTTTTCTGAATGTTCCTCGTCCTCCACCAGCGGTGAACAGCATACAAGCGAGATGACGTGGTGTTGTGTGCGCGGTTTCCATGTTGGGATAAACGCAGAGACGTATTCATCCTGCAGCCCGCCGCATCCCGCATCCCGTCTCGAGCAGGCAATAGGAATGCTCGTCTGCTACCCGAGGCCGCCGGAAACGCTGTCTTCAGCCACTTTCCATATTGATGGCTGCTGTGTCACATGCCGGCCAACCAAGCTGGTTCGACTTTAAATTCAGGGTTTGACCTAAAATATTTTTCAACTTTTGTTTTCATTTTTTGACATAATATTTTGTAACTTTTTACCCCCCAAAAATTATTTTTACTATTTTATTATATTTTTTTAGGTTGTTTTTTTTCGTGACATATTTTGAATTTTTTTTGTTTGGGATCACAAATGCAAATCAGATGTCATTAACCAATTTTCCAATTTGTTGGCACTCTTTTTAATAGCCACCTGAAAGTTGTTTTGAAATGTCTTTGGTTTTGTTATTGATATTAAGTCCCATTAGGCCGGTTTATACGCTGTCTGGAATTGCATTTGGATGAGTTTGAATGGTGCATTATGAATGTAAATTAATTGCTGAGTAATTTATCAATACAAAGGGCAACTCGTGACATATTATATATTCTAACTTACAAAACACCCCCGCTGGACCCTGTGACGGGGGGGTCGTGTCTGCGTACAGATGGGGTGTGATTCCTTCGTCTCTCCCCGTTGGCTGTGAGGTCATTTTGACGACACACTCAATCCCGCTAATGAAGGATCGACCTTGAAGCTGTTTGTGTGCTTCTCTGTTCCTCCGGGGAAACCCTCCTCCCTCCACGGACAAGTCCTTACGGGACATTGCGTGCGCGTGCGAGGGTTACATGGCGAGTCACAACCCTAACCCTCGCCCCGGCATCCTCGGCGTCTGCCGTCGACCCGGCCAATCACAGCCAAGGATTCAGTGATGCGGCGCCCCTCTTCCTGGAGGGATTCCTGGCTGAAAGAGAGTCTCCCTCCCACGTCTCCCCCACCCACCCACCCCCTCCTGGAGTTTCTCCCTCCAGCCTTTCTCACCAGGTGCGTCCGCCGCTTGTGTTTGAACAGAAGGTGATCCGGCGCCATCCACACTGTCATCATCCAGCCCTCTCTCTCTCCTCCTCCTCCCTCTCTCGTCCAAACAAAGCTCCACCTCTCCCTCCGTCCCTCCCTCTCTCGCTCTCTCTCTCTCTCGTGTCTCTCCCAGCCTCACACTCACAACACACACTCACTCACAGACACACACACACACACACACATATACTATCTGTGTCCTCGTCCTCCTCCAGATGAGCGCGCCTCGTTGTCAGGGCGAGCAGATTCGGAGCTGAAGGTGTTCTCTTGTTGCCAGGTAAGAGCGCACATTTCCTCTTCGGGCTCCCCCAGAAGTTACGAAGAAACGGGGCATCCCTCGCCACCTTGTGGGTGTGTTTCGGCGGCGGGTTGCATGTGTACGTTTGATGCGTCGGCGTCTAGGTGACATAATCAGGGACGGCGGGTGCTTTTGAGGGTGCGACCGGGGAAGTGCCACAACTCCCGTGAACGCCAATGTTTTTGGCGCCCTGATTTTTGCCGCGCCTTTCACGCCGCCATGTGCACCTCGGGGGCTTTTTCGGGTGGCCGTTCAGGTCTCGTCTGCCGCGAGGCAGAGAGGGTGCAGCGCGGCTGGGAGAAATCAGATCAGCGACAACATATAGAGCATGTCTCCGGTTGCGAGGGGAGACCACAGCGTGGGCGTGTGGGCGGATGGAGAGGCGGGGAGGGGAGGGGAGGGGGGAATGGAGACGGAAGACGAGCAGCTGCTTTCATCCCATGGAAAGCTAATCCCTCCCGTTTGTTCACCCCTCTCCATCAGATAAAACGGGCCGTCTGCTGCTCTGGTGCCCTGGCTTTTATTTATTTTGTTTCTCTCTCACTCTTCTCCACCCTTCAGTTGTGATGGTTTTATCTCGGGCAGGGAGGAAAGAGGCAAGCTATTGATTCGGGAAATGAGCTGTAATGTCGTTTGATAGGGGAACAACACATCCCTCTCTGTCTGTGACCCCCCGCATGCTTTTGTTCCTCTCCGTACCTTGTGCTCAAAATCTATTATTCAACTCAACCGTGACATGAATTCCTCCTCGCAGTCACAATCTTGTAGGCTCATGAATCTACATAGTGAGCAGATCAAATTGAAAAGCCACGGGAGCCACTTGCATTAGGGGCCCCAATATTTCTGCTGTTTTGTGTGATCGGTGAGAACCCCCCCCCCCACGTCCCCCCCCAACCCATCCCCCGTGGCCGTAAAGATGGCTTATCACCTACCACAGGTTCACTGATAGATCGCCCAATGGCCGCTGCTCACGGAGCCGATGGCTTCTCGGGCAAACACGTCCGCGGCGACGCTTTGCTGGCAAATAAGCTATCGAAGGGAGACGGGCGGCCTATCCCGGATTACCCAATATCTCGGGAGGCAGGATTCAGCCAACGCAACCGGGGAGACGGGAAAATGGAGAGGAGGAGGGGTAGGGAGGAAGGGAGGTTCCGGGGGGCTGCTCGGGTGTTGGTGTTAAGCCCAGAGCTTGGAGTACGTCAGCCACGGAAAGCGTCCCGCGAGTCAAAACTGTTACCAGGTGACGGAGTGAGGGAGAACAATGCAGCACTCCATGCCCCCCCCCCCGAAATCCCCCTTTGCACCGATCTAAATGACCCCTTATCTCATTTCCCAAGGCAGAGCTTATGTTTACATACTCCCTGGGATCTTCTGCAGATGTTGCATCTGCATTTCATCGGACAGGCCTGAGGCTGCGCCTGGACCGGAGAAAGCTGCTCGAAACACGTACTGGGGTTCAGTCGGGGGGCCTCGACTTCCTGCGACTTCTAATGTCCGAATGAGTTTCGGACCCCGCAGAGCTCAAGTTGTAAACACACGTCGTCTTGATAACGGTCTTATTTACACAAAGTTTTTTCCAGGCTTGTTAAACGGTTAGTTAATAAAGCATGGGCCAAAAAAACCCCCCGAGCTACACTCCTCCCCGGCAACGGCCGCCCACTGTTGTCTGGGCCCAGCGAATGCTGGAGGGAACTTTTAAAAGAGGCCGAGGCCGAGGATGAAGGGGGGTCTACCGGGCTTCCATCGCATTTGGCCGAAGCCTCTCGTTTGTGAGCCGGCGATTAAAAGATGTCGGGGGAAACGGGGGGAGCACGAGTGCAGCAGAGGCAGCAGGACAGAGAAATAACGAGCCGGACGCCTGTTTCTGCTCGGGATAGCAATGCAAAACGGAGGCTATAAATAGCGCCTCTGCCATGATTTGACCTTCCGTGGCCACTTGGTAGCAGGCGGCCGCGAGGAGGGAGGTGCCCGCATCAGTGGCGCTGTCACCACGGAGACCGACCCGTGGGAGATTGATTTTCCTGCTCGTTCTCCACGTCTAATTACCTCCCTTTAATCTTCATCATCTCATCATCATCTCATCCTGATCATGATCAATGGTTGTACAGATAGATGCAGCGAATAATGCTGTGCTGATGAATGATCCTTTTTTGTAGGAGCTCAGTCTTTATGTTGTACAACGAGGTGCCTTTGGGTGGATTATTGATTGACTGTTAATTACAGTCCAGTCACTGCTACAGTAGGCTTAGATCAAATACATTGGCTGAACCCTTAAACCCCCCCCCCCAACTCATTAGTAGTATTTAGGCCAACTGGTCGAGTAAAAAGACATCACAGTCGATCAAAGATCACTTCACTCAAGTTTCAAGCTGCAAAAAGAGAGACAAAGTTGAAAAGAATGAGACCAAGTTGAGATGGAGATGAAATATTCAACGTTGAGTGAGTTCACTTTCTACGGTGTTGTTCTGTAAATTAACCGAGCCATCTCATTTTTTTCTTGTTTTCTTGATAAAATCAGCTCGTGTGCAAATCTGCTGCTGTCTTTTCTGCTGAAGGCTCACGCCGTGACTTTTGAGCTGGGTTCACTTTCTAGCTCCAAAACAGAGATACTCTGACTCATCGGTCGAACTCGATTAAAAAAACTAAATGAAAGAAAGCTAAACAATTTACCTGAATTGATTTTTCTGACAATGACAGCATATCATGTCCATTCTCAGCCCTGGCATTTCAATCATTCCCATCATTTGAGGCCCAAATCACATTAAGTACTTCATGGCAAAGCTACTCCAACCCTGGTGGGGGGGAATTTCGATCGATTTAAAAAAAAGAATGTGTTAGTGTCATTTGGCATTTGTCGAACTTTGGTCAAATTCAACCTTGTGGATCAGTTTAAAAGTCTAAATTGGATTAGTTATAGATGTATTTCCTCAGTTTAACATCAGCAGCAATACCTCATTTCTCAACCGTAAAACATTTTAAGAAACACCACCATGAAAAAGCATCCGTAACGTAACGTAAACATGAGGAATCTTAATCACCACCAATACTTTGTTGATTCCCATTCGCGGTACACGGATGACACGGCGAACACTCGTTTGGCGCCAAAGACCTCAACGAAATTTCCCAAAGGCATTTCAGAAAATGACAATCGAAGCTCTGTCAGCTTTCAGCCATCAAGCAGCTTTTTTGACAGTGGAACGCTGGTGAATTTAACAAAGAGCGAGTGGGACCTCTTCGTCACCACACGCAGCACTGTGCCGCGTTTAGTGCAGAAAGACCCAAAGCATTGTTCGGTTTCCCGACAAAAGCCCATTCTTCCACTGGTGTGCATTTTAAATTTGAATTCATCCGCTGCCACAAGGGTTCGGAAAGGATCATCGGCACCGTGTCACATGACTGCTTTATTAGATACACATGTGAATGGCTTCGGGCTAAACCATGACTTTTACTCAGGTGTGTCTTAAGGACATAACTTGTTATTCATCACGAAGGTACAAAGTGTATTACAGGAAGCTTTTATTTTTTCATGGCTTCTTTCATGACTGTCCGTCAGAGCGATTTTCATTTGGGTGGTATAGCGACGGCGGCAGGGGCATTTCCATTCTGATACTGTAGGTAAGGACGAGAAAATGATTTCACGGCGAAACTTCCAGTCTGAGAGCTGTAATTTTAAAATCCCCTTTAGGGGGAAATTGCTTTTGCCCTCCCACGATTTTTTAATATCCTGGTTCGTACTCCGGGCTGCTAAAAGGCATCGTCTACTCGTAGCGTCGCTCCTGCAGCTGCCCGCGGGTGCTTTGTGGGGAAGTTATTAGAGATTAATACTATCTGGTTGTGTGGACGGACACGAGCCCTGAACCGCGCGGTACACGGACGTCCTCCTTAGCCCCCCCCCCCCCAACCCCCTCGCCTCGACATAGTGGGCGAAACAGCCCCTCTGCCTAATGAAAGACCAGATTAATTATTACTGAAGGGCACGTAGCATTTAAAAAAAAAGAGCCCCTGGAGGACATTTTCAATGTTTCATTAATGTAATGAGGCATTGAAAAAAAAATTCTCTCCGTGTGCTCACCTGAAACCCTCACGCACATCCACCCCGCTCTGAAGACACACGGGGGCATCCGAGGATGTCTCGGCATTGTCTTAATAGGAAAGAGAAGTCCTCCTGGGCGATGTCAGTAATAACCCGACCAACTTCTCTTCTTTGTGTGCATTGGGGGTTTTTTTGTGCGTGAAATGATGAGATTATGGCGCTGCTACGCTCTCTGGTCCCCCGGAGGCTGAGCCCTCTGTGTGGGCAGTGGGATCGTCAGCGTAGAGATGAGCCGGGAATCTAAATGACTGCCGTCCTTTCTGCACCGTATCTCACACTCCTTTGTAAGAGTGAAACAGCTCGTTGTTTTCTCTTTATTTCGCGCCGGGGGGGGAATCAGCAAAGGAGAAAACGTCCATTTCAGCACAATGACAACACGCTGTGCTTAATTTGAAAACTCTGATTTGTGTTTTTACAACTTCTTCAAGCTCACAGTCCTCCACCGAGCCTGTCGGCGTCCCCGCAGGACGCGGAGCACGAGGGCGAGTCGCCTCCGGAGTTCACTCGCCGCTCCCGCGTGCCCTTTCAGTCAGAAAGCAACACGACACCCAGCAGCGTTCGCGAGATACAGCTGCGCGATGGGATGAGAAGAAGAAGAGGAAGAAAAAAAAAAAAAGCAATTAAAATCAGTGTCACCCTGCATCGCCCCGATCGTGTCACAAATGACCTTGGTGGATTCGAAATGTGTCGCAGCGAGTGTGTCGCCCTGAATGCTGGGAAGCACGAATAGTTTTTCCCGGAGAAGTCACGAGTGCGCTCTGGACCGAGGAGAGCAGCTGTTTTCGCTGCCAATCGAGGTCACTGGATGCTTGTTAAATTCACCGCGGACGAATTAAACGGAACAATTGTGTACAAGAATCAACAGGGCATCTCGAAATATTTCTCA